AAAGTAAAAAGCGGGTTTCTGCGGTGCCCTGCAATCCTAAACCTCGCAGACGAGAGGAAAAAACATCCTACATCAACATCCTACCTCACGACCGCCCGTGGGAGAGACACGAAAATTAGCGATGTTGTGGCACGGCTACCCATCATAAGTGAGTCAGGATGATTTACCTACGGGCTTTGGATGGCCGCCTTAACCGCGACCTTAATTTCTGCCACAGGAAAGAAACGCCTAATCAAAAGTGACCAGATCAAGATACTCGGTTAACCACATGTATGGTATTGGCACGCAATCCATAATGATTATTACTATTTGTCAATCATTGTAATACAGTCTCGATGCGCGACCCTGCAATTGTTAGAAGCAGTAAAGGAAATAACTGTTCCAATGGAGGTAGAAAGCGTGCACTGAAAAATCAGTCTAGGTACACATTTGCGATCAGAGGAATGGATGAGTCAATGATAGATATAAATGACTTGATCAAATGTTTCCCCTACCCTATTAATGATAGGGAAAATACACCTATTTTCCTTATACTAATGGCATTGAAAATACACCTATTTTCCCTACCCTACTAATGGTAGGGCAAATACACCTATTTCCCCTACCCTACTAATGGCAGGGAAAATATACCTATTTTCCCTACCATACTAATGATAGGGAAAATACACCTATTATCCCTACCATACTAATGATAGGGAAAATACACCTATTATCCCTACAATTCAGCAATTAGTGATTATATCTTTACTACGATCACTCAATACACTCACTTCCCATACATTCGATATCAACTATCAACAAACGAATAATTTCTTTAATAAAATCCCCAAAAAATTTAACTACGATCAGTTCTTATACTAAAGGAATTTAAAAGCAAAGAAAACGCCAAGCAAATTCACCATAATGATATTGAAAACATTTCGGATACTAGCTCCATCATCAGCTCGACAATCTAAAAATGGTAGGATTTTTTTTTAGATTGTCGAACTGATGATGGAGCTGGACTCCGGAACGTTTTCAATATTGATATGGTGAATTTTATTGACGTTTACTTCGCTTTTAAATTCCTTGTGAACTTACGATATAAGCAGACTGACGATACATAACAACTTATACTATATTTACATCGAATACTGTAATAGTGCCGGCGCTGACGAAATTGGACGAGTTTTACCTAACACCAATTCTTGTCATTTTCGTGACTCGTTCACAGATTGAAGTGAGATTTAAAAATTGGCCTATTGAAAATATTTTTTCAAGGCTGACTTGAAATAAATAGCGACTGGACTTGTGCTAGAACCGTAGAGTGATGGGCTCTTCGTGTCTAAACAAATACGTCACTTTATCTAGTCTGTTATTACTTACAATCATTTCAAAACAATCCCTCAGCATACGAACGACATCATTAATACAATACCAGACCTCAGTACAATCACTAATATATTCAATACAATTCCGCAAAACTATCACTACATGTTCATTTAAATTTTAATACAATCCAACTACAATCGAATAATTAATTCTTCAATATAACTTCTCAATACAATCCTTCAGCAAACAAATAACAACAAGTTCACACCCTTAATTTAAATACCTCTTTTTAGACCTCATTAACTGCTCTACAGTTCCCAACACATTAATGTACCAAACTCGAGAAGCTGCTCACAGTTCCTGACGTTGCGTGAACTGTGACCTGTGACTATATATGGCACCTGTGTGACCCGTGAAGCGGACAGCTTCTCTAACAAGAAGAAGCTTGCTTCACACGCTTCATATTTTCAGAAGTTCTTCTCTTCACACGCTCTATCTTTTCCAAACACTCAGATATATTGTCGCATTGTCCTAAAAGCGAAGCACTTCCTGACCAACAACACAAGCACAAAAATGACGTAGCACCTATACGCCATTTTTTCGGGATAAATTGGGTCAGGATGACCCAAGTACACAAAGCAAAAAAGTGCATCTCTATTCGGACAAAGTCTCACTCATTTCTCTGAGTGTACTTAAAACTTTTGAGTGCACGTCATTTGACGGCACTGAGAACAGGATGTTAAGCCGCATCTCATACGCCAGAAAAACACAGCAGAGCTTGTCTAAGTTTTGGCCCGACGGTCGAGTTAAAGCAAAAATATTTATTATTGCCATGCACGTCTTGTTGTTGAAGGAGTGCCCCGGGGCTGTCCTACACTCTAAACACGTCCCTGCGAAGTGAAACCCTTCCTTTAGGATCTCAATGACAGCAACAGAATATTGTTAAAAAAAATTTAAGATAACACAGTAAACGAAATTTTCGAAAATGTCCAAGCAGCAAACGAGAAAAAAAATATAAAAATTTTTTAGAATCAAAAACATTCAATTGCGGCGATTGTGAAATCAGGAAAATTTTGAGGACGAAAATCATTGTGATTTTTTTATCGACGCCAGAACAAAAAAAATTTACAAAACGAACGAAGAATTTTTTCATTCAACTTTAATGTCGACGGAAACACCATAATTGTTTGTAAGGATAACCCTATGTCACGTCAATAACTTCATTGTGACCATATAAATGAAAAAAATTATAATATGTAAAAGAATAATATTATAATAAACAAGAACAATAATTTTGTATTAAACTGAAACAATACCGTCTTAAACACTCAACAACGACACTCTCTACGAGCATCTAATTTATGATCCCTCGCCTGAACAAGCGTTCCAATTAACCTGAACGAAGTCACCTCCATGGAGTAAGGCAGTAAGCAAACAATCTTCAAGAATGAGCCCACTATGGAGCAGGCTGTGCCATCTAGCCAAGTCACCTCCATGGAGTAAGCAACAATCTTCAAGAATGAGCCCACTATGGAGCAGACTGTGCCATCTAGCCAAATCACCCTCCATGGAGTTAGCAACAATCTTCAAGAATGAGCACACTATGGAGCAGGCTGTGCCATCTAGCCAAGTCACCTCCATGGAGTAAGCAACAATCTTCAAGAATGAGCCCACTATGGAGCAGACTGTGCCATCTAGCCAAATCACCCTCCACGGAGTTAGCAACAATCTTCAAGAATGAGCACACTATGGAGTAGGCTGTGCCATCTAGCCAAATCACCCTCCATGGAGCAAGCAAACCATATTTAAGAATGGGCCGACTATGGAGCAGTCTGTGCCTTTTAAAGAAGCCACCTTCCATGTAACCAGCAGTGCAATTTTTAAGAATCTACCTGCCAAGGAGTCTGTCATGCAAAGTGCCCGCTTAGATCGCAAAAGCTGTGCAATATTGAATACGCTGATGCGGTAAAGATAATAAACGCTGGCACTAGTAGTGATGGTACGGCGCTGGTGCGGCGTTAGTATAGCGATGATACGGCGATGGTGCGGCCAATGTAAGCGCTGGTACAGCCAATGTAGGCGCTTGTCCGGCTATAGTTTGCCATAAGGTAGCACTATTCGCTGCCACCTGTCATCGTGGTCGCTTCCCACGCGACTGAGCCGAGGATTGTAGCCCTAAACAGAGTTACGTTGATCGCGAGTCCTACGATGAATGTGAATGTAATATCAAACTCGCTTAAAAACATTAAACCGTAATATTAAACTCGCTTAAAAAACAAGTAGCAGTCTAATTTAGATTAAGTACAATTAACGGCCGAGTTCTCGTCTGTGATTGGTGAGTTTAACTTTAGAAGCAGTCAGTGATTGACTGACGGAGTTCGTAACTAATAACTTTTTTTGATAGTACGGCCCGAATTTTTCACTTGCGACAAGGGAAAGAAACCGCGAACAGTATCGTAAACTGATCGTGAATATGTATCAGTTTATTGTTTATTGGGAAGATATTATAAATTTCGCGCCACCAGATCAGTCCACTCCGCCTCTCCTTAATTCATTACTTACAAATTAATTGTCATACGCGCAAAATTGATATGCAGGCGTTGCGTATATTTGTTCACTGCGCTAAACTTTCATTTGAAAATGGGTTTATAGATGATCGCTAAAACGGAGTTTATGATGATGAACATTTTTGCGGTGAATAATCGGGCTTTGCAGCGCGATCGAATGCGTATGCTGAGGCTATCCTATCTCATGTAAACTACAGCAAATATTTTTATATTAATGGAAAATTTATACAATAATTAATAATGAAAAAAATTAAAGAGCATCTAAATATAACAGGCGTATACTACAGCCATATATTTCTATAATACCCTCTGTAAATGCAAGTATTAAGATCACTAATATTAATATCCAAAATTAACAAAAAGTTTTTAATGACAGATATATACAAATGACTTTAAACAGATTTTATCGTTATTTTAGCGTTGTATAAACGGTTCACCTTACAAAAAATATAGCGCGAACGCGTTAGCAATAGCAATAGCAAAACATGGACTGAATGTATAAAAATAAGTTATCGTAATGCATATCATTCATTTTAGACTGTTCAGTAGTCATTTTGTTTCGACGCAATGTAGCACATTATTTTAATCAGTTTCGGAGAATTTTAACCTCAAACTTAACGTTAACCATCAACTTTGGCTTCTTTCTTACTTTGCTCAACATTAAAGACTATACGACTCTTGAGCAACCAACGAAATAAGGTTCAGTACAGGAAATTTTTGCGTCCACGATTTGTACTGAATACAGTTTTATGATTGCATCAAGATAACTTTTTTTCCAAATCATATATGTTCTGTCCGCTTTGTTATTACTTGATAAGCACTGTCACCATTAATGATGGAATTTTGAGAATTCTATAAATATTAATCTAGTGGCAGACACCCGAAAGATTTGCGATTGATTTGATAGTAATCCGGAAACTTGAAGCAATGTACATACTGTCTGACATGCTGGAATTCGTTCTATAAACTGAGGAAGATGTAAGTGATAGAAGAGAGGAAAAATGATTGCCATTAAATCAATTATTAATATAATATACCATCGATACTTGACAGCTCTACCATAGGTGTAGTAATTGCTTTGACTATTATTCTATAACAAAATAATTTTATTTAAATGATTACCTGCAGTAAACTTCATCGAAAATTTGCCTTGGCACAACAGATGAGAAGGAAATGGATGCCCCTGTAGCCTGACACTGATCACATTATTAATTAGCAAATTACTTCCATTTGTATTTTTCGCTACTAAAAGAACCACGAGAAATGCGCCTGCATGTCCGGCGTACACTGCACAGTAACACGACTCAACCGCAACTGACAGTGGAGGTCCCGCATGCGACCCACAGGCTCGCAGCACCTCGAACCTGGCCGGCCACGCGTCACCTGGCTTAGGGGGCGGAGCTTGGGAAGTGGGTAATTTCTCTCTCAGCCAATCATAGGCTTCATTACTTCCTGTGAACATGTGAGTAAAATCGCAGTGAGTAACGCTTGCTAACCTCACCACGACCTTGAAAATTGTTTTGTTCCATTTAATTTCACAATCAATGAATTATAAATGAAATAATTTTGTGTAAGTGGCTTGTAAGAGACAAGTAATGCGCAAGCTTTTTTCCAATATTCATAATGATTGACGTGATATGTCATGAATACTGTTGTTCATTAGTACCGACATCGAAACAGAAAAGCTTGAAAGATTAAAAAGGTTTCGACAGATCATCTAACTACCTACCTAGGTAACGGTTTCAAATTGGTAGCTCAGACAGGCAGTGCATCAGTGTGTTGTACCGTCTTCAAAATACATTACCATCTAAACCCCACTATCATCTTTATTATGCAGGAAATTACGCACACGAAGTCTCTTTTTCACCTTTTCATCCAAAAATTGAGCGAACTCAAACCCTCGGGCAACGCTCATTGCATGTGCACCTGTTTATTGCAGTACGTATGGGTTGGTATGGTAAGGTAGGCCTCTTCAACTCAGCGTTTACAAGTAGTCTACGGTAGTAGAGTAACATTACTTAACAATTCAGACCATGCATTTTATTACAGGGGCATTGCCAATAGAAGTATTTGGTGTTATTTTTGTCAGAATTTTATTCCGTATCAGTGAGTTAGGTCTGGGCCGGCTGCTCTAGCGTGAATGAAAAATTCGGTTCATTAAACTTCATTTCAGTGTCGACTGTCGAGTAGCTACTGGCTAGTGGCCTAGTGCAGCGTTTCCAGATGGTATATTTCTATACCAGATTTCACAAATCTGGTATTTTCAGAAGGTGTCGGGAATGAATATTTTAGATCTGGTATATTTGCCCAAATCAATCTGGTATTTTCTGACTTACTGTCAAATTACTGCATCAAGTTCCACATTTGAAGTTTGAATTTCCTCCAGCGTAGGCGTGGATTATATAGATTACCTTCAGACCGGCGCGACTAGAGGTTTCCCGCCATTTATGGAACCATAAGTTTACCGCTTGATAAAATAACCCCAATCTAATTGTTAACATTTAACAAAGGTGCTTAGTGCACTATAAGTACGAGGGTGAAGATCCTTGATTGATTACTGTAATTTACTGATCAGTGATGATATGGCCTAGGACGAGTGAGGTTGTCGAACTGATCTCGATCTGCGAAGCAAGTTCCACAATTTTTGTTTGGTGGTTTTGAATTCCAGAGTGCCACTTATTGGAGTGCCACTTGAATTCTGGGGTGCCACTCAATATTCCACTGATCTTGAAAATCATCATCCATTCATAGAACTGGCTGCCTACTGCGTCACTTGTCTTCTTTGACCTGTCTCCAATGCATCCGTGGAGCGAGTGTTATCACGCGTCACCTATGTGAAAAACAAGCAACGAAATAAAATTTCAAATAAGGTACTGAGCCCCTTATTCGGACCAAAAGCTATCTGCTCAGCCGCAACAAGTGATCAAACCCGAAATGTTAGATAAATGCAATGTGCAAGCTTCTACGAAAATAAGCAAAAGGAGGATGACCTGTCATGTTGAGCAAGGGGGAAGAACTGCCACACTGTGATATAAAAAGGTAAAAGTGTCAATGTAATCAAACACAGGAAAAGAAAAGTAACAAAATGTTCCAAATAGAGGGAACAAATAAAGCGGGTTCAATTTGGCTAATTATCGTCAAGTCAGAAAAATGCACAGTACATAAGATAATTTTTTTTTTCTTTTTCCATCCAACGTTTCTGACGAATATTTTCATTATTCTGAATATTTTCATTAAATTTGGAGGTATTAGTCTGTTTTTGAACAATAGAATTTCTGGTATTTGAGCTCGGCAATCTGGTATTCTAGAGAAGAAAAAAGCTGGCACTGGCAACACTGGCCCAGTGCCTTGTGCAGTCTGCTGACTCTGCTCAGTGCTCACTCTGCTGTCGTGCGGTGCACCGGTGTGAGTTAGTATTGTGGGAGACTGGCATACTGGGACTGGGAGGAACAGTGCTAATCGCATTTTGACTGCCAAAGCTGTGCTGCTGTTGTCTACGCCATACGGTATGTGTTGTTCTTTGACAATTTTTTGCTGCCAGTGCCATATTCTTGAACTGCTCATAATTTCATAAATATAAACTCAAGGTTTGGGAAATTAAACAGATAATAATGTAGAATACATTCCTGCGTGCGAACTGCGAAGGGTTAGGCCAAATGGCTGCTGAGGTTAGCTCCTACTCCTAACTTTATTATTAAGTCGTCAGGCTCTCGTCTCAGTAGTCTGTACTCTGTACTAGGTAGCCAGTAGCCACCAATAGAAACGATGTACCGTAAAATGGGGTTACTTTGACCGGCGGGGTAACTTTGACCACTTTTCGTTTTTTTTAACAAAAACCCCCAAAACTCAAAAACGATTTGACATAGAAAAATTTTGTCAATGGCCATCAAAGCCTAATACTGAGGCTACATAACACAAAAGGAAGATTTGAAAAGTTTGCATATCTAATAGGTTAAAAAATTAATAATGTGACCCATGAAAAAGAGCTATTATTTAAAGCCTGTCGGAGTACCCCCTTCAATTTTTTTATTTTTTGGTAAAATAGCTCCAGGTTTTGATGCATTGTAGTAGAACTCTTCTAGTTACATATGCAAAAGACAAATTTTAGAAAAGTGTCATAGTTTGCAAATGGGGATGGGGTAACATTGACCGGCTTGGAAATTAAGTTAAAATTACCATAGGCACCTATATAACATATTTTATGTTTGATACACCTATTAATGTTTTTTCTTTATGTTTCAGATTCTACAGAGTCTTATATATGGTAATTTCAAAATTCAACTTAATTTCCAAACTGGTCAATGTTACCCCCGTCACGGCTGCCATTAGGTGGTCACATTTTGCCCATTGGGGGGCTGCGCCCCCCATTTGCAAACTATGACACTTTCCTAAAATCTGTCTTTGGCATATGTAACTAGAATAGTTCTACTACAATGCACCACAACTTGAAGTTATTTGGAGTTATTTTACCAAAAAGTAAAATTGGTTTTACCACCCGGTCAAAGAAACCCCAAGAGCTGGGTTAACAAAGAACATCCCTTTTTTTGAAACTACATCAAAACTATGAGAGGCAGGAGCCAGCAATTTATGGTGAGTAAAGCTAGAGTATAGACCTGTATTTTGCATGTTTCAATTTTAGTTTACCTTATCTAGTAAAAAAATGGCATTGTTTCGAAATAAAAAAGTGGACAAAGTTACCCCATTTTACGGTACCTACTAATTTGAACAAGTGGTAACAAAACAGTTTATTAACCTGTCGACTGTCATATAATTATAATGACCTCTGCAAATTTTCTGTGCTAACTAAACACAAAATATTTCAGTTTTGAAGTTGATAGTTGATAATAATACTGGCTGACGTGACTGTGGCAACTGGCAGCTATGCCACGGTTGCCACCTGGCACCCGCC